CATAGGTAGACAGATGACAGAGCGTGCGTGCGTGCGCAGATCGGGCTGACGCGGCAGGGCGTGGTGTGCGAGACGTGCGAGACGTGCGGGCTGGCCGTGCACACATAGAGACAGTAGACACACACACGTACACGTACATAGGTAGACAGATGACAGAGCGTGCGTGCGTGCGCAGATCGGGCTGACGCGGCAGGGCGTGGTGTGCGAGACGTGCGGGCTGGCCGTGCACACATAGAGACAGTAGACACACACACGTACACGTACATAGGTAGACAGATGACAGAGCGTGCGTGCGTGCGCAGATCGGGCTGACGCGGCAGGGCGTGGTGTGCGAGACGTGCGGGCTGGCCGTGCACACATAGAGACAGTAGACACACACACGTACACGTACATAGGTAGACAGATGACAGAGCGTGCGTGCGTGCGCAGATTGGGCTGACGCGGCAGGGCGTCGTGTGCGAGACGTGCGGGCTGGCCGTGCACACATAGAGACAGTAGACACACACACGTACACGTACATAGGTAGACAGATGACAGAGCGTGCGTGCGTGCGCAGATTGGGCTGACGCGGCAGGGCGTGGTGTGCGAGACGTGCGGGCTGGCCGTGCACACATAGAGACAGTAGACACACACACGTACACGTACATAGGTAGACAGATGACAGAGCGTGCGTGCGTGCGCAGATCGGGCTGACGCGGCAGGGCGTGGTGTGCGAGACGTGCGGGCTGGCCGTGCACACATAGAGACAGTAGACACACACACGTACACGTACATAGGTAGACAGATGACAGAGCGTGCGTGCGTGCGCAGATCGGGCTGACGCGGCAGGGCGTGGTGTGCGAGACGTGCGGGCTGGCCGTGCACACATAGAGACAGTAGACACACACACGTACACGTACATAGGTAGACAGATGACAGAGCGTGCGTGCGTGCGCAGATCGGGCTGACGCGGCAGGGCGTGGTGTGCGAGACGTGCGGGCTGGCCGTGCACACATAGAGACAGTAGACACACACACGTACACGTACATAGGTAGACAGATGACAGAGCGTGCGTGCGTGCGAGATCGGGCTGACGCGGCAGGGCGTGGTGTGCGAGACGTGCGGGCTGGCCGTGCACACATAGAGACAGTAGACACACACACGTACACGTACATAGGTAGACAGATGACAGAGCGTGCGTGCGTGCGCAGATCGGGCTGACGCGGCAGGGCGTGGTGTGCGAGACGTGCGGGCTGGCCGTGCACACATAGAGACAGTAGACACACACACGTACACGTACATAGGTAGACAGATGACAGAGCGTGCGTGCGTGCGCAGATCGGGCTGACGCGGCAGGGCGTGGTGTGCGAGACGTGCGGGCTGGCCGTGCACACATAGAGACAGTAGACACACACACGTACACGTACATAGGTAGACAGATGACAGAGCGTGCGTGCGTGCGCAGATCGGGCTGACGCGGCAGGGCGTGGTGTGCGAGACGTGCGGGCTGGCCGTGCACACATAGAGACAGTAGACACACACACGTACACGTACATAGGTAGACAGATGACAGAGCGTGCGTGCGTGCGCAGATCGGGCTGACGCGGCAGGGCGTGGTGTGCGAGACGTGCGGGCTGGCCGTGCACACATAGAGACAGTAGACACACACACGTACACGTACATAGGTAGACAGATGACAGAGCGTGCGTGCGTGCGCAGATCGGGCTGACGCGGCAGGGCGTGGTGTGCGAGACGTGCGGGCTGGCCGTGCACACATAGAGACAGTAGACACACACACGTACACGTACATAGGTAGACAGATGACAGAGCGTGCGTGCGTGCGCAGATTGGGCTGACGCGGCAGGGCGTGGTGTGCGAGACGTGCGGGCTGGCCGTGCACACATAGAGACAGTAGACACACACACGTACACGTACATAGGTAGACAGATGACAGAGCGTGCGTGCGTGCGCAGATTGGGCTGACGCGGCAGGGCGTGGTGTGCGAGACGTGCGGGCTGGCCGTGCACACATAGAGACAGTAGACACACACACGTACACGTACATAGGTAGACAGATGACAGAGCGTGCGTGCGTGCGCAGATTGGGCTGACGCGGCAGGGCGTGGTGTGCGAGACGTGCGGGCTGGCCGTGCACACATAGAGACAGTAGACACACACACGTACACGTACATAGGTAGACAGATGACAGAGCGTGCGTGCGTGCGCAGATTGGGCTGACGCGGCAGGGCGTGGTGTGCGAGACGTGCGGGCTGGCCGTGCACACATAGAGACAGTAGACACACACACGTACACGTACATAGGTAGACAGATGACAGAGCGTGCGTGCGTGCGCAGATTGGGCTGACGCGGCAGGGCGTGGTGTGCGAGACGTGCGGGCTGGCCGTGCACACATAGAGACAGTAGACACACACACGTACACGTACATAGGTAGACAGATGACAGAGCGTGCGTGCGTGCGCAGATTGGGCTGACGCGGCAGGGCGTGGTGTGCGAGACGTGCGGGCTGGCCGTGCACACATAGAGACAGTAGACACACACACGTACACGTACATAGGTAGACAGATGACAGAGCGTGCGTGCGTGCGCAGATTGGGCTGACGCGGCAGGGCGTGGTGTGCGAGACGTGCGGGCTGGCCGTGCACACATAGAGACAGTAGACACACACACGTACACGTACATAGGTAGACAGATGACAGAGCGTGCGTGCGTGCGCAGATTGGGCTGACGCGGCAGGGCGTGGTGTGCGAGACGTGCGGGCTGGCCGTGCACACATAGAGACAGTAGACACACACACGTACACGTACATAGGTAGACAGATGACAGAGCGTGCGTGCGTGCGCAGATTGGGCTGACGCGGCAGGGCGTGGTGTGCGAGACGTGCGGGCTGGCCGTGCACACATAGAGACAGTAGACACACACACGTACACGTACATAGGTAGACAGATGACAGAGCGTGCGTGCGTGCGCAGATTGGGCTGACGCGGCAGGGCGTGGTGTGCGAGACGTGCGGGCTGGCCGTGCACACATAGAGACAGTAGACACACACACGTACACGTAAATAGGTAGACAGATGACAGAGCGTGCGTGCGTGCGCAGATTGGGCTGACGCGGCAGGGCGTGGTGTGCGAGACGTGCGGGCTGGCCGTGCACACATAGAGACAGTAGACACACACACGTACACGTACATAGGTAGACAGATGACAGAGCGTGCGTGCGTGCGCAGATTGGGCTGACGCGGCAGGGCGTGGTGTGCGAGACGTGCGGGCTGGCCGTGCACACATAGAGACAGTAGACACACACACGTACACGTACATAGGTAGACAGATGACAGAGCGTGCGTGCGTGCGCAGATTGGGCTGACGCGGCAGGGCGTGGTGTGCGAGACGTGCGGGCTGGCCGTGCACACATAGAGACAGTAGACACACACACGTACACGTACATAGGTAGACAGATGACAGAGCGTGCGTGCGTGCGCAGATTGGGCTGACGCGGCAGGGCGTGGTGTGCGAGACGTGCGGGCTGGCCGTGCACACATAGAGACAGTAGACACACACACGTACACGTACATAGGTAGACAGATGACAGAGCGTGCGTGCGTGCGCAGATTGGGCTGACGCGGCAGGGCGTGGTGTGCGAGACGTGCGGGCTGGCCGTGCACACATAGAGACAGTAGACACACACACGTACACGTACATAGGTAGACAGATGACAGAGCGTGCGTGCGTGCGCAGATTGGGCTGACGCGGCAGGGCGTGGTGTGCGAGACGTGCGGGCTGGCCGTGCACACATAGAGACAGTAGACACACACACGTACACGTACATAGGTAGACAGATGACAGAGCGTGCGTGCGTGCGCAGATTGGGCTGACGCGGCAGGGCGTGGTGTGCGAGACGTGCGGGCTGGCCGTGCACACATAGAGACAGTAGACACACACACGTACACGTACATAGGTAGACAGATGACAGAGCGTGCGTGCGTGCGCAGATTGGGCTGACGCGGCAGGGCGTGGTGTGCGAGACGTGCGGGCTGGCCGTGCACACATAGAGACAGTAGACACACACACGTACACGTACATAGGTAGACAGATGACAGAGCGTGCGTGCGTGCGCAGATTGGGCTGACGCGGCAGGGCGTGGTGTGCGAGACGTGCGGGCTGGCCGTGCACACATAGAGACAGTAGACACACACACGTACACGTACATAGGTAGACAGATGACAGAGCGTGCGTGCGTGCGCAGATTGGGCTGACGCGGCAGGGCGTGGTGTGCGAGACGTGCGGGCTGGCCGTGCACACATAGAGACAGTAGACACACACACGTACACGTACATAGGTAGACAGATGACAGAGCGTGCGTGCGTGCGCAGATTGGGCTGACGCGGCAGGGCGTGGTGTGCGAGACGTGCGGGCTGGCCGTGCACACATAGAGACAGTAGACACACACACGTACACGTACATAGGTAGACAGATGACAGAGCGTGCGTGCGTGCGCAGATTGGGCTGACGCGGCAGGGCGTGGTGTGCGAGACGTGCGGGCTGGCCGTGCACACATAGAGACAGTAGACACACACACGTACACGTACATAGGTAGACAGATGACAGAGCGTGCGTGCGTGCGCAGATTGGGCTGACGCGGCAGGGCGTGGTGTGCGAGACGTGCGGGCTGGCCGTGCACACATAGAGACAGTAGACACACACACGTACACGTACATAGGTAGACAGATGACAGAGCGTGCGTGCGTGCGCAGATTGGGCTGACGCGGCAGGGCGTGGTGTGCGAGACGTGCGGGCTGGCCGTGCACACATAGAGACAGTAGACACACACACGTACACGTACATAGGTAGACAGATGACAGAGCGTGCGTGCGTGCGCAGATTGGGCTGACGCGGCAGGGCGTGGTGTGCGAGACGTGCGGGCTGGCCGTGCACACATAGAGACAGTAGACACACACACGTACACGTACATAGGTAGACAGATGACAGAGCGTGCGTGCGTGCGCAGATTGGGCTGACGCGGCAGGGCGTGGTGTGCGAGACGTGCGGGCTGGCCGTGCACACGCGCTGCTGCTCGCGCGTGGCGCCGCGCTGCCCGCTGCCGCCCGAGCGCTGCCGCCGCCCGCTCGGCATCGATCCGGCGCGCGGACAGGGCACCGCCTACGAGGGCTACGTCAAGGTACTCTCGCCTCGACATTGTTCTATCCGCCTCCACCCAATTCCATCCGCCTCAGTCCACCTTCATTCGCCTTTATCCGCTTCAGTCCGCCTCCATTTGCCGCCATCTGGCTCGAAAGACCAACTGATCTTTCATACTGAAATAGAATATATGTTGAAATAATTTTTGCTTTATCTTTATATCACTGCTTGAAACATTTTAAGTTACAACATGTTTTACAAATTCCAGTTCGAAGGACCAGCTTACTGTGTATATTTAAACCGAATTCCGAGACTTATAAACTGATAATCAGTATTCAAACAATATGTTATTTGGTAAAAGTCAAAAGTATTTGTTAGGTATACCTTAAATACAATCAATTTCTGAAAAATAATGTGCCTTCGTTATAAAGTTAGTATTATTTTCATAACATTGTTAAAAATTAAAATAAATAATAGTTCAATGGAACTCCGCAATGTTGCTTTTATATCCAGTTAAAAAATTATTAAAAATGCACAGTTTAAAACTGCTGTATTGTAAATTAAAAAGCTAATAATCAAAGGCAAATTCATAATTTTTTCAAATCAATCAAAAATTTTTAATAGTCACTTGTAATCAACTACCACGCCTATAAGTAAGATAACTAACTCTTTTTAATATTGAAATACTTCTTTTACCAGGTTCCGAAACCAGGAGGTGTGAAGAAAGGTTGGATGCGGCAGTTTGTAGTTGTTTGCGACTTTAAACTGTTCTTATACGACATTTCACAAGATCGGTGAGAAATTAAGCTAATATACAAAACAATTTAGTAGAAATTTTCCACCAACATGTTACAGCTGTAAGCCAAACTAACAACTGTCTGTGTCGTCTTTAAATTTCTAACACTGTGTATTCCTTCTGTGTAGGGTTGATATATTATAAAAATATTTTCTTTCTCTTATATAAAATGTTGAACAAATTTCTAGGAACGCTCTACCATCAGTATGTGTTAGTCAAGTATTGGACATGCGGGATCCAGAGTTTAGTGTGACCTCAGTCAAAGAGTCGGACGTAATACACGCCAGCAAGCGTGACATACCTTGTATATTTAGGGTAAGTGTCTTTTTTAGTTTAAGGTAATGTAAAAAATGTAATATAATTATCGGTATGTATAATAAACAGTATGTATATAACAGTATTTTTGGATTTAAAGAAAGCTTTAGATACAGTTTCGGTACCCATAATGCGAAAAAGGATAGAAAGCATTGGTTTAAGGGGTAAAACTCTCTCTCTCTCTTTTTGGTAGCTACCTTAGAAACAGAAAACAGTCTGTAAAAATTGGAACAACTGTAAGTAAAACTTTAACTGTCAATTATGGAGTCCCCCAAGGAAGTGTAACGGGCCCAACTCTGTTTTTGATATACATTAATGAACTGTGTAATATGAAACTTTATAATGGGCAAATGTTTTCCTATGCAGATGACACAGCTATTCTATTTACAGTAGATACATGGGACTCTGTAAGGAATACAGCTGAATTATGTTTTGCTAGGATGGTGAATTGGCTCAATCAGAATCTACTTACTTTGAATATATCCAAAACTAAATATTTTTGCTTTATCATGTACAACAGCACTCAACCTACACCTGATTTTCAAATTAAAATTCACGAATGCTCTATCGTCCAAAGCTCTAGTTGTAACTTCTCTCAAGTAAATAGTCTCAAATATAAAGTATCTAGGAGTAATGGTTGTTCAAAGACTGTCTTGGTATTCACACCTAGAATTAATGGCAACTCGGCTCAGGAAACTTATTTGGATATTTAAGTCACTACGACATGTCTCCACGAAGTCCTTACTTAATATAAAATATCCATAGCTCTGGTTCAGTCAACGGTAGGCTACTGTATTCCTATATGCGGTGGTGCAGCAAAAACCAGGTTCCTTGAGCTTGAAAGAGCTCAACGGTGCTTAATTAAAGTTATGTACTTAAAGCTCTTTAGATTCTCTACAACTGAACTCTATGAATTGAGTAATTTACTTTCGGTAAGAAAACTACATTTTAGCAACAGTTTTAAAAACTTCATAGTTCCCTAAAATACCACCCGTCATCAGCCACTAGACGTAGAAAATATACAGTAAGTACCCTACGAAGATTCATTTAAGACTAAGTTTGCATCAAGACAGTATACAAGACTTTCAATTTACTGTTACGAGCTTGGTGTTCGAGACAATTAAAAACTGTCGATTGAATTACCAAAATTAACACTTTAATTACACAACACTAATTACAATCTAAAACCACACTAATAATAAAACAGAATTGTTCTACTGATCACTTAAGTTCGCAGTTGTTTCGCTTCGAAGTATTCTCTTGTATCGCCAATTCAATACTGCCCCGGTCGTGGTCTATACCGGCCTTATATAGGGCCTCAGATAGTTTCCAGAACCTTTTACTGTAGAAACATCTAGAATGTTCGAGTACATATCGGTTCCGAAATTTCAAGAAGGATGTTGACTCTCCTAATTATGCTACTCGACACTAGAGGGCGCTAGTGGTAAAAAGTGTTGCCATGTACAACACATTAATATTGGCGCGCTACACTGCCCCCTCCTAAGACATGCTAGTCCCGAGCATTATTGGTCCCATAATAACGCGCCAGTCGATCCACGTGGACGATCTTAGGAGTACCTCTGGCACCTTTCTGTATCCGGTATTTCCCTTTGCTGCGAACTGGATTGTGTAACCACACTAGTAAACCTTCGTCAAACCCCTTGTTGTTCATTTTGCGGTCATACCGTGTTATCATCTTCTCAGACGTTTGCTGGCCCGACTGTTTGACGTGCTCATAAATCTCATTCATTTTGTTTCGCAAGTAATTTGCATAATCGCTTATACTGCGTGGGGAATTAGGTGGTATTCTGGTGATCAGGTCTGCAGGCAGCCGTAATTCTCTCCCAAAGTTTGCGAAAGCTGGTGTCACTGATGTACTTTCGTGAACAGCGCTTCGATATGACAACAAAAACGGTTGTATGTGCCTGTCCCAGTCTCGTTGCTGTTTTTCTACAACTTTTGCTAGGTACCTCTCCAATGTCTGATTAAATCGTTCTACCATTCCATCAGATTGTGGGTGGTAAGAAGTTGTTCGTGTTTTATGAGTACCCATAACTCGGCAACTTTCCTGGAATATTTAAGACTCAAAATTCCTTCCTTGATCGCTGTGAGACTTCATGAACTAGTTTATCTGCAACTGTTGAAGCTTCTTGATTTGGAATGGCGAAGACTTCTGGCCACTTAATGAAGTAATCCATCACAACCATGAAATACTTGTTACCACTTTCACTTTCCGGAAACGGCCCCGCAACGTCAATAGATATGCTCTCCCATGGTGCACCAACATTGTACAATTTCAATGCGCCTCTACTACGAGTTTGAGGTCCCTTTACAGCCGCACAACTTGTACATTTGCGGCACCAGTCCTCGACATCGTCACGACAGTGGACCCAGTAAAACCGTTCTCGGATCTTCAGTAGAGTTCGTTTAACTCCCAGGTGGCCTCCTGAACAACCACTATGGTACAGCTGTAGAACATCCGGTACGTTACCCTTAGGGACAACCATTTGTAAATGACATATGTCTCCCCGACCATTTTCCCATTTACGCCACAGGACTCCATCCTGAATCAGCAAGCTGTCCCATTGGGCCCAATAGCTTTTCGTGGTCGAACTCATCGCTGAGACGTCGCTCCACTTGGGCTTAGGAGCACTGGCCTTCATCCATTCCAGAATCGGCTTAATGTCCAAATCTTCCTGCTGTGCATGTTGTAGGCTGTCCTTCCACTCATTGTTGAGCTGGTCTGTCCTGAGTATCTTCACAGATACCGCTTCCTTACCCTCTTGCCTAGAACAATGCTTGCAATCTTCAGGACACAGTCTTCTTGACAATGCATCTGCGTTGTCATGAGATTTTCCGTTGCGCTGGGCGGTGCTGTTAACCGCACTACCCTCTCGAAATCGATCACCTTCTCTTTCTACAGTTCGCTTAGAGCAGCTGAATCGAAGATGGCCCATTTCCCCACAGCCGTAGCACCTAGGCCTGTATCCTTTGTTGCGGTCACGAACTGTAGCTGGTGCAACCTCCCTGCCGCGATAGGAACGATGATCCTTTCGCACGGCTTCCACCTCCAGTACATGGGCCAACGCGTCCTTAAGCGTCTCGTGGTGCCCGAGCCTCACAGCAGCTCTGACTTCAAGGTCGTGGGTGCCGTCGATGAATATCTCCACCAGGTTCCCTGCAATGAGCGCAGGTGCAGACTGGTATGCCTTTCGAACCAGCTTCCCCACCTCAAGGGCCCAATGCTGCAGATTTTCGTTACTGCGTTGCACGCGATTTTTGAGCTGCGCACGAAAGACGTGTTCCAGGTGAGCGTCGCCATATCGCGCCTCCAATGCCTCAAGGAGCTGCTCGTAAGTCACAAGGAGCTGTTCCTTACCGAGAGCTTCCAGAACAGTTAAGGCCTGGTCGCGCAGGCCTAGGGTGAGAGCAGTCATGGCCTGATTTTTATTCCAGCCGTTCGCCTTCATGACAGCCTCGAATTGGATTTTGTAGGCCGACCAGGAAAAAGTCCCGTCGAACGGCGGTACTTTGAATTCACGTTGCGAAGGTGTTGTAGCTACCACGGGAGCTGTAACTCCATCCCCAATTTTGAGGTCGTTCAGCGTTTTCTTCACGTCAACCATCACGTTGTCAACCCGATTGTTCACTTGGTCGATTCGGGTTTCAGCTCCCGACAGGCGGTTGTCATGTTGAGCAACCCTATCCTTCACCTCCTTTATCTCTTTCCCGAAGGTAGCGTGAAGGTCCTTCCTGAGGAGCATCTGCTCTTCTATACCGCGCTGCAGCTGCTCTTCCAACCGACGGGTCTGTTCCTCCTGTCAGCGGGCCTGTTCCTCCTGTTGGCGAGCCTGATCCTGCAGCATCATCATCAAAGCACCTAAGTCAGATGCTGCAGATGCAGGAGCTGCTGACGGGCCGGCCTCCGTGGTCAGCAGCTGGCCGTCCGACGTTTGAGGCGTTGCATTACCAAATCGTCTCTGGTCCGTCTCCAGTTGGCGTTGACTTCGGGTACGGATACCCTCCATGTCGTCCTTTGGTAAAATCGGCATGATTTGATCCCACTTTTGACACCAATTGTTACGAGCTTGGTGTTCGAGACAATTAAAAACTGCCGATTGAATTACCAAAATTGACACTTTAATTACACAACAATAATTACAATCTAAAACCACACTAATAATAAAACAGAATTGTTCTACTGATCGCTTAAGTTCGCAGTTGTTTCGCTTCGAAGTATTCTCTTGTATCGCCAACTCAATACTGCCTCGGTCGTGGTCTATACCGGCCTTATATAGGGCCTCAGATAGTTTCCATAACCTTTTACTGTAAAAACATCTAGAATGTTCGAGTACATATCGGTACCGAAATTTCTAGAAGGATCTTGACTCTCCTAATTCTGCTACTCGACACTAGAGGGCGCTAGCGCTAGTGGTAGTGCTAGTGGTGTTGCCATGTACAAGACATTAATAGTGGCGCGCTACATTACTTATATAATAAAATAAACCAAAAACTCAATATTTACCCTATGACTTACCATTACTGTAAAAATACTGTAAGTACCGTACCGCAGAATGGTTAAGAAAACTTACCTATGAAGAAACTGAATCTCTTCTCGAAAATAGTGCCTTATAAATTTTTTTTTGTCTGTAAGTGGGCATTATTTTTTAGAAAATAATGCCCACTTACAGACTTCTCACATACCCACAACGGACACTCGCGCGCAGCGATAAAGTTTTATTTAACTTGCGTGCGCAATTTATCTGATTTATAATAACTATGTAGGCTATTAAAACGTGGGCAAGCTGTCAACATAAAAGGAGTGCAACTTCTGTACGTAGTACTATTATTTATTCTGTGCCACTAGTACCTGCGGGATTATCCATTACTTATCGGACACTGTATATTGTTGTTTCCCTTTTTACCTCTTTTTAAATTGATTTTGGAGGCTTTATTGAAAAATTGTTAAATTTTACAGATATCAACGTCACAATTAGAAGGCGGCAAACGATACCATACCCTAATGCTAGCAGAGTCTGAATCCGAGAAAACAAAGTGGGTAGTGGCGCTCAGCGAACTCCATAGGATATTGAAGAGAAACAACCTGCCCGACAAATGTGTAAGTATTTAGATTTTTAACTTCCTTACACAGCTAAATACAAAATGCATTTCATTAACACTTTCTAATACCCCTCAAAATTACTCTTATTTATATTTCTAATACACAATAAAATACATTATAAATCAGACTCGAGAAACGTAGAAACTTACGTTTGAAATTAAGTTTTGATGCTTTTGTTGAGATAATGTTTTATATCTGTTAACTGTCTAGTAGTTCACCGATTTAAAACATTGAAGCAGCTAAATTAGTATAATTACATTATCATATATACTTTCATAAATAATGTTTTTTGTGTTTTTTCGAAACCATAATTGTAAAAGCAATAAATACAGGCAAAACCCATTGGTTAATTCTTCTTTTAGTGGACAGTAAGTTTATATGACATTTATGCGGGGAGAATAAGTTATATGCGAAGGTTGTATACGACCTTAACAATACAAATTGCAGACTGTCTGTGAAACACTTTACGAATTAAAATACAAAGGACATGCCGACACTTCCGTGGTCTCCAAATTCCTCGTCTGGACGTATCTGCGAAGCACTCCACCAAGGCAGCGCAGCGCCAATTTACGGTAGATGAGCGGTAATCGTAAAGATATGCGACATGGAACAATAATTAGGAATGTTATGCGAGGCCGGGATCTATACATGACTACACAGCGCGGTGTCTAGCACGTATTGGCACGTATTGGCGGCCTAGATAACTTATTTTTATTACGGCGTGTCACAGACCAAGGCCAAAGTCATCCTGGAAGCGAATGCAATGCCCTCTGCCATACGTACAAAAAGTAATTTCACAGACTATATCGTTAAATGTCATTTATAAAAGGACCGAACATCCATTTTTAATAAATAATCATACTGCGGCGAGAGTGTACTTTTAAATTATTAAAAAAAAAATCATCGCCCTAAAATTTTTTCTCGTTAATTCTATTATTACTACGAATAACGAACTTCAATCTGTGATGATTTTTTTTTTTATAATGGCTCATACTATAGTACTTTTGCTAGGGTCAAGTAGGAAGAAATTACCTTTAATTAGGTCCTTACATATAAAGTTGGCCTTTTGTACGGCAAGAATATAAAGTCATTTTTTTTTTGTAAAATATATTTAATTAATCAACGTATGCACCGTTGTTATCTATGCACTTTTGCCATCTCATAGGTAGTTCATTGACTTTACTAAAAAAAACCATGGGGGCGAGAATCAATAAACTCTTTGAAGGTGGTTTGTACTGCCGCATCGGAGTTGAATTTTATTCCTTGTAAAAAGTTGTCCAAATTCCGGAAAAAATGGTAATCTGCTGGAGCAAAGTCCGGGGAGTACGGTGGATGTCGCAGACATTCCAATTGTAGCCTATCTAACTTAGTGGTTGTTTCTTGTGCAGTGTGTGGTCTTGCGTTGTCGTGAAGCAGCAGTGGCCTAGAGCGATTGACCAATCTCGGTTGTTTAGCCGCTAGTTCTTCTTTCATGGTTTGCAGTTGCTGACAATAGATATCTGCCGTAATTGTTTGGCCAGATTTTAGAATGCTGTAGTGAACTACACCGGCGCTAGTCCACCAAACACTCACAAGTAACTTTTTCTGAGTCAAGTTTCGTTTAGGGCAGGATTTGGCTAGGTCTCCAGGGTTCAGCCATTTCGACGAGCGCTTCAAATTATCATACAGTATTAACTTTTCATCACAAGTAATGATTCGATTTAAAATCCCTTCATTATTGTGTCGGTTGAGCAAAGTAACACAGCAGTCGATGCGTGTTTTGCAAGTTCGATTCACTCAATTCATGAGGTTACCACCCATCGTTCAAGTTTTATTACTTTCCCGGTTTGCTTCAAGTAGATCAGTATAGTTTTATCACTTACCCCGAAGCTTGCAGCTGTCTCTGAAGTGCTTTGTGATGGATCCGCTTCCACAATAGCCTTTAATTCTTCATTTTCCATTTTGGTCTCCGATCGTCCACGGAGTTGGTTGAAATTTCTAGAACGAAAACGTTGAAACCAAAAACGTACCGTGCTTTCTTTTGCGACACCAGTGCCGTACACATCATTAACCCTTCGAGTTGTTTCTGCAGCACTGGTACCACGGTAGAACTCGTACTCGTTAATATAGCGATATTTCATGTTTTCCATTGTGCGGTAATAAGCGACGTCAAAGAAAAAAATAATGAGGAAAAACAAATGAATGACAGTTTTCAAAACTGAAATGTACCAGCTAAATGAATTTATAAATTTGAATTTGGAATTCTTAACCAAAGAGGAGATATTTCAGATCAATGTGGCCATTACGACAGAACACAAATTCCAAAATTCTAGACCCTAATCCAAAAAAAACTGGTCTCGCGAAACCTCAGCGACGGGCACCGAAAGACACTAATTAACTGCCCAGCCGCCGTCGAGCTACCTTCTCTTAGTCCAGCGCCGGAATCACCGGAGCCCGTACGCCACCGCCCCCGCACCGCGACCCGCACCACACCTGGCACCATTGGGCGATTCACGAAGTCGAACGTGATTGGATGTCGTACAAATTACCTTTTTTGGGCCTAAACACTATATCTATACGATATAATAAAAAAATAAGTTCAAATTTTGAAAATGGAACTCTGCTAATATTATTGTGTATGTATTATATTAATCTATAATTTGTTTACGATTTGGCGGCAAATTGAAAATTTTCTGTGTCACGTCAGCATGAATTTAACGCGATAAAATTTTCGTACAATGATTTTTTTATAACTTTCGATGCCATTTAAGTCAAAAAGAAAGTTGTGAAAGTGATAGACTTCGATTGGCCTTCTACAATGAAGCCCCATCTCGTGCCACTATTTACAACTGGTTTAATGAGTTTAAACGTGGTCGCACTAATCTCACCGATGATACGAGTGAGGGACGTCCTTCTACGGCGACGACTGAAGATAACATCAGTGTTGTGCGGTGTATGATAGAGACTGACAAAAGAGTATTTTATCCACAAATTCGGACAAGCTTAAGCATCGGTGTTATATCTTACTTTAGACACGGGAAAAAGTAATTAATTAATACAACCACGTGTTATAACGAAAAGGATTTTTATTTAGCTGCCAGATATAACCATAAACAAAAATTAGAGACAACAACTAGTGTTGCCTTTGAGATTATAAATGTATAACACTCTCCCCCACATAGAAAAAAAGTTTTTTATGCTACTTATTAGAATAGAATAGAATAGAATGATTTTTATTCAATATGGATTATTACATAATACTTATTGAAAGTCATTATTTTATTTACCACTGGTTCGGAAAATACCTCTGTCCTGGCAAGAACCAGCAAGAAACCCAGCGGGACTTTTTTTTTAAACATAATTTTACTTAACAATTATTTTGTTTATACACTTTTAAATGAATTTTCATAGAACCATCATGGTGGCGATCACCTTATTCCCAGGGGTTATTTTCATTCATGTATTCCTTGGTATTATAATAACCCTTTTTGTACAGTTTTTCTTTAATAAAACTTTTAAACTTGTTTATTGACAAACTTTGAACATGTTCTGGGATTCTGTTGTAAAAGCGTATACATTGCCCCATAAATGAATTACTAATTCTGTGGAGTCTAGTAAGTGGCATTACAAGCTTATGTTTGTTCCTAGTGTTTAAGGTATGAACATCCTTATTCTTATTAAAGCTATTTATGTTTTTATATACATACATTACATTTTCATAAATATATTGCGATGCCAAAGTTAATATGTTTATTTCTTTAAATTTTTCTCTAAGGGACTCTTTACAATTTTGATTATAAATCGCCCGTACGGCTCTCTTTTGCAAAACAAATATAGCTTCAATATCAGTCGCATTACCCCATAGCAAAATTCCATAAGACATTACGCTATGAAAGTAACTAAAATACACTAACCTAGCTGTCTCAACATCTGTGAGACTTCTAATCTTTCTTACAGCATATGCTGCAGAACTAAGTCTGCTTGCTAATTTAGATATATGAGGGCCCCATTGAAGTTTCGCGTCAATAGTAATACCGAGAAAAACAGTGGTATCCACAAGACTCAACTCCTCCCCATTTAAGAGCACATTGGTTTTCGAATGTTTTACATTAGGTATTGTAAATTTAATACATTTTGTCTTATTGCCGTTTAAGAGCAAATTGTTGGCGTTAAACCAATGTACTAGTTTCGATAGAGCATTATTTACATCGTCATTAATATTTTAGTATAATGTAATAACCTAAATATACCACTAAATAAATATTTTTATTCTATAGTCTGTCCACAGTCAAGTAATTGATTGACATATCGTTTCCAATAAAGTCCATCCACTTCTTCAATAATTTTACCCAAAGACCACTTATTTTTATTCTTTCTGTGATCTCACCATCACTTTTTCACCAGTAGTGAATGTTTTAAAGTTATTTTTACTATTAATTGTAAGCTTTACTTGCTCAGTATCAATTTTGTCCACCACTGGTTTTGGTCTTAATAATGAGAAACGACATCTCAACTCTCTGCCAAACATCAATTTTGCTGGATTCTGGCCTGTAGTTTTATGTACAGTGTTTCTATAATCAAATAGGAATAAATTACATACATATTCAACCGTTTGCCGTGTAGTGCCGGTTAAGAATATCCACTACCCCATATCTTCCCGTGGGTGACAACAAAAAGGACCATTCGTCCACTGGTAAATCCAGCCGCCTCAACGCATTACAGGCCACCAAGACTGGTTTCACGAGGTGCGGACGTAGTCTGGCCCGGTCACTAAACAGCGGGAGGCTTAGAAGCTGCTTAACATATTCGTCCGCAATTCGCCGAACGTTGGCGTATCTTCCGGCTAGGAGGTCCCGAGCATTCTGGTAGGCGTCGTCCGACAATCTCAAGTGGCCGACGACGCCCAGGGCCTCCCCTCCAGTGAGGCCAGGAGATACGCCATCTTCTGGCTCGGGGTCAAGTCCCTCCGGGCGTCCACTAGGCTGTCGAAAAGACCAACGAAGGTCAGCCATTCGGAAAGGACCCCGGAGAACCTTGGCAGTTCCAGAGTTGGGAGTCGTCCCAACAGCTCCGGCTGAGGCTGCTTCCGAGAGGACTCGGACAGGCCACTCATCCGAGCTTCACGCGCCGCCTCAGCATACGTGGCCCCAACCTCGATCAACTCATCCGTGAGCGAAAAGAACTGCTCGTAGTCTGCGAGGCAGGAGTCCAGGACTCCCTTTTCCTCATCCGCATCCTCGAGCTCAGCGTAAGCCTCATCCACTGCGGCCCTTTGAGCATGGGCGCTGGTAGCCCAGCGCAGCTCCGCCCTCAGGCAACGAATCAGTAGCTTGTGCGATGGCATCACTACTAAATACAAATTAATACGTGGCTCAAATATAAATCAAATTAACAAATAACCAATACAAGTACGATCAAATCAAGTTAAATACAAATTACACAAATACAATTACTATTTATTAAATTAAATACAAATTACACTACAATTAACGGTACACACTACAGTCAATCAGCCAATGCCTCGCTCAAACAACCGACCCTTCGACAATTAATCTACTATAATTATACGCCAACGATAATTATCTGATTACGTGATAACCTTATCGGCCTAGTCAAAGTACCTTACGCGTAAGTACCTAGCCTTAACAACACTACGGGCGTGGTTGCTTCTTCAACCCGCTAACAAACATAAAATATTACGTACGTACTACGTATTACGTACGTATTATATTACGTACGTACGTATTTATTACCTACTATTTTTATTAATATTACGGCCGGGCGTGATTGGAAATCAATCAACCGCGCTCTTGCTACCAAAATTGTACACGACCCTAGCTGTCCCGACAAAGATCGACTATACAGGGGCCCATACAGCTGTACTCGACGGTTAAATAAGGACGGGGCCCAAATGCCTATGGATATTTGATATATAGATTAGGTACTTAATTTACTTGACTTACCTGCTTCAGAAGCAAAGAAGTAAACCCCAAGGCTCGTTCAGGCGTCAGGTGTAGTGAATGTAAGTAGTGTATGAGAAGTGTATGGGTGTTTAACCCGAATTAGCCCCTTTAATCAGCAGCAACCCTCCAGCGGCGGCAGCAAGGGAGAATTTCTTTCTTCAATTCACTATGTCAGTCTATCAACTTTATTGTACATTTAACTAACTTCAAAACGCAACTAAATCCCGTTACTTATAATCAAAACCGTAACACACGGCACGAATACCGAATGGGCGGATCAAAGGTCACTTCCGTTTCACGTGGCAACAAATTATTTCTAGAACCGAACACGACCTTCTCTAGAGTCAGAAAGTTCAGCGTTCAACCGACTACGGAAAATGTCTCTGAACTATATCAAATGCCACACGAGCAACTACTCGACGCAAAGTTTTATTGTCTAGCACTTTAACCGGCAATCACTATAAGTTACGTAAATTACTTGCCAACGAATTTAGGTTAATCAATCAAGTTATTACTGCTTCGTCATCGCGTGAACGCACTAAGGATAAGCAAACGTCGTCTATTTGTCTAGACTCAACAAAACCTCGTCGATGCCTAAATTTGCTAACAAAACCGACTTTAAAAATGGAGGTTATCCCGGGCGACCTCACTCCGTGCTAGCGACCGCACTGCATTCAAGCTACTGAGTTACTTCCGCCGCGCCACGCGCTAAACCCACTCCGCTCGCCCGAACGTCAAACCTGTACGAATGCACCGAGGCGAGTGCCCTCTGGTGTCAAATCTTGAAACCAGCGTTTGGGCGCGAACAATAAGATTCAAAATATTTTCAGTGTGACCTATGTGTAAGTTTTCTTTTTTTATAGGATAGGGTGAGAAACAAGCACACAGTCCACCTGATGGTAAGTGGTTGCTACGGCCCATAGACCCCTACATTTATCCTCAACAAGGAATCAAAATGCAGATGCGTCGTCACCCGTGAGGACTAAGATGGAATGCCTCTTTTCCAGTAAAATGGGTTTTCGGTTATCTACAATCACCATACGAAACACAGCAGTGTCAAGCTGCTATTTCACGCTGGTGTTCTGTGAGAGCGTGGTCCTTCCCCGGTCGAGCCGACCCATTCGTGCTACAACTATACTACTAATATAGCTGCAGCATGGCTCTACCATGTAAAAATGATGATGTTGGCGTGTTTGCAGGTGTACTCTGCGTGCGTGATAGCGGATGCGAGCGCGGCGCTGATCCGCGGCGCGACGTGTGCGTGCGTGCTAGAGCGTTCGCGGCTGTGCGTCGGCGGCGAGCTGGGACTCGCGCTGCTGGACCTGGAGCGCGCCGAGCTGGTGCCGCGCCGCGCGCACGCGCCCGTTGCGCGCATGTGCTACGTGCCGCACGAGCAGCTGCTGGGTGAGTGTGCACCTGCAGCTGCAGCTGCAGCGAGCCGGGCCTGGTGCTGCTGGACCTGGAGCTCAGGGACACTTAAGAAAAATTACATTGTAACTAATACGCATCTGCGATCCCCACTGTCACTAAAGTAATTGTGTAATTTCAAGTGGTGATTTATGGTAAAGAGAAACATCGTGAAGTCCAAAACGAATTAGCCCAATGTGGTGAATTTCCCTGTTTCAAAACTCATTTAGAATTTGTGGCTAAGCAGTAGGTCGCACAGGCTGATTCAATTTTACTTTTACATCTATATTTTTAATTTATGCAGGCTGATACTTTTATTACTTTTACATTTTTTTTTGTGTATACAGGCTGATACTTTTATGTTTTTTTTTTTGTGAATACAGGCTGATACTTTTTTTTACTTTAACATTTTTTTGTGTGTATACACAGTGGTGATAGCCGGGCGGGGTCGGCACGTGCGCCTGGTGCCGATCCGCGCGCTCGAGTGCCCCGAGGTGGAGAGCGTCAAGCTGTCGGAGGCCAAGGGCGCCGTGGACCTCGCCGTGGGCGAGCTGCATGCCTCGGCCTACGGGTTCGCAGTTGTTTGTAAACGACAGGTGGGCTTCTAATCATATTTATTTTATTTTGAAACTATTTGTTATATTTTGAGAGGATGTCTACTATTGCATATGATATAATATTTTATATTGAGTTTGTTAACAGAAATGTGTTTACTACTTGGTGATTTATTTGCAACTGATACAACAAATTATGCTTTTAAATATTAAACGGACCCGCATATGCATACGTATTCACACTTACGCTCGCTCTTATATAGATAATTCTATACGAACAATGTTTATTACAGTTTATAGAAATCAACTGTAGAATATAGGTTTACATCAAAGACTATATCATAGAGGAGATTTTGTTATAGTTTTATCACGTTTGGCATGTGAGTTTGTCAACCGCAGTAATTTTTTATAATTTGTTGTGGTCCTGAATCGTCATTGCTGGAGGCCTATGTTTGGTACTGTACTTCTTACAGCCTATTAGAATTTACTGTTGACCATAAGCCTCCCCTATAGATTGTCTCAAGTTATCACGCTTGGTAAGCGCGATGACTACTACAGTGTTTTTATATTGAGTCGTTATTGGGAACACGCTACTGCTTGTCTCTTGATTTGTTTCCTTTTGTCGCCTTTTACGACACCTATGGGAAGATATGGGGTAGTGGATATTTTTACATTGTCACTAAATAGTGAACTTCAGAAGGGCTGTAATGATGTTCAATGATAATAGTTATATTGGTATACGTGTTTAAGATCGTTGCACTAGTGCGTAGTATGCGACGTGTGGCCGGTGCGTTAGGTAACGTGCGAGGTGCGGTTGTTGTGCAGAGCACGTGGGTGGTGTACGTGTACGAGATCACGCGCACGGCGGCGCGCCGCTGCCGCGTGGCCGAGCTGCGCGCGCCGGGCGCCGTGCTCAGCGTGCAGCTGTCCCGCTCGCGCCTGCTGCTCGGCTACCGCGGCGGCTTCGCGGCGCACGCGCTGCCCGAGCCGCGCCGCGCGGGCCAGCACGCCGCCGACCAGCCCGCCATCTGTTAGTACCGCACGACACTACACACGCACACGCACACATACACACGTGCTCAGCGTGCAGCTGTCTCGCTCGCGCCTGCTGCTCGGCTACCGCGGCGGCTTCGCGGCGCACGCGCTGCCCGAGCCGCGCCGCGCGGGCCAGCACGCCGCCGACCAGCCCGCCATCTGTTAGTACCGCACGACACTACACACGCACACGCACACATACACACGTGCTCAGCGTGCAGCTGTCTCGCTCGCGCCTGCTGCTCGGCTACCGCGGCGGCTTCGCGGCGCACGCGCTGCCCGAGCCGCGCCGCGCGGGCCAGCACGCCGCCGACCAGCCCGCCATCTGTTAGTACCGCACGACACTACACACGCACACGCACACATACACACGTGCTCAGCGTGCAGCTGTCTCGCTCGCGCCTGCTGCTCGGCTACCGCGGCGGCTTCGCGGCGCACGCGCTGCCCGAGCCGCGCCGCGCGGGCCAGCACGCCGCCGACCAGCCCGCCATCTGTTAGTACCGCACGACACTACACACGCACACGCACACATACACACGTGCTCAGCGTGCAGCTGTCTCGCTCGCGCCTGCTGCTCGGCTACCGCGGCGGCTTCGCGGCGCACGCGCTGCCCGAGCCGCGCCGCGCGGGCCAGCACGCCGCCGACCAGCCCGCCATCTGTTAGTACCGCACGACACTACACACGCACACGCACACATACACACGTGCTCAGCGTGCAGCTGTCTCGCTCGCGCCTGCTGCTCGGCTACCGCGGCGGCTTCGCGGCGCACGCGCTGTCTACGCGTTTTACATAGACATTGTACATACACGCACACGGACGAACAACAAGTACAACAGCAACACGCACACATACGTGAACACGGCAGGATGTAGTCGAGCTCTCCATCTGATAGTACACGCTACGCAACACCACACACGCATACCCGCCTGTGTGGTGTTGCGTAGCGTGCACACACACACGTACACAACACAAAATGCCTACATATACCTTACCTCACAAGAGCGAGAATGGATTGTCTATGTCGCACTGACTTACTCCCTATAATATTTAACTTACGCCGCATATTGGCAGAGTCACGCGAACGTTTCCGCACTTATCCGTGACCCCAACAGCACTAATCGCCCAAAATGACAAAGTCGCACCAGCTACGCAACTAACCCCGCTAGTCCCATATCGAAGAGCCTACACAGCATATTTTTTATCCGGATGAAATCCTTTATGCTGGACTATTGCCGGCTACAACCCTACGGTTGGCACCAGCCGCTTATACGAATGATCCCGAAATCTCCATTCGGAATGCTCCATTGTTTTGTTTAACACATGACAAATCCCTCGGGTATTATTACCCTCAGCACTCTCATAGTGCTATCACAATATCTCGGGACCAATTCATCGAGGGATTCCGAGTCGTCGTCCTCGCCGGGAGTTATAGTATTAAGCGTTCATCCCCGAGCGAGATCTTTCCCTTCCCGCCCTGCTCAACAGCCTCCTGGGCCATACGGATTCACCTCTCCGCACTCCACGCTGAATCCCCGCTTAACATCGCCGACACGACGCACTATGGGATAACACCTGTCTCACCTGTCTCACCGGGTCTCAACACTTCATATTTCAGTTGTTTCAAAATGACTCAAGCTATACATACGTATACTTATTTGTATAGGGTCTTTGTAGTTTTTTTTCCTAGTTATTTAATTGACTCTAATAGATAAAATACAATGTCAAAATATCACCACAATAGATATCAAAACTTCAAGACATAATTTTTTTGACCACAGGTAAATTAGATCTAGACATATTTTTTTTTGACCACAGGTAAATTAGATCTTGAGCATTGTTTAACATAATATCTCATTTCAATATATTTTATAAATACACCGTCATCCATGCTATTTTATAAAAAAAAAAATAATTTTCTCGCGTATTTATAACGTATTTCATCTAAATCATCTAATTGAACATGACTAAGATTTGATGCTCATTTATACTTATGTTAAACATACAAAATAGAATACATACATACATACATACATATAATCACGCCTCTTTCCCGTAGGGGTAGGCAGAGACCAGTTCTTTCCACTTGCTACGATCCTTACATACTTGTTTTGCTTCGTCCACTTTCATTATTCCCTTCATACATGCTCTACGGTTTAGGGTACTCTTGACCTGGCCTTTTTTCAAGACGTCCCTGATTTGGTCTAGAAATGTCCGCCTAGGTCTACCCCTTCCAACACTTTCATTCACACTCGCCTTATACACTTTTTTCGTCAATCGTTCTTCATTCATTCTCTCGACATGGCCAAACCATCTCAGCATACCTTTCTCAATTTTTGTCACTACATCTTCTTTCAGACCACAACGTTTCCTTACCTCACTATTTCTTAGCCTGTCACTCAGTTTAACTCCTATCATACTTCTTAATGCTCTCATCTCAACTGCATTTATTCTGCATTCATGTTTCTTCTGCCATACCCAAGTTTCACTTCCGTACATGAGTGTCGGAACCAACACCCCCTCATGCACAGCCAAACGAGCCTTGTTAGACACCTTCCGACTGCTCATAAAGGAGTGCAAAGCTCCATTCACCATGTTTCCTGCATTCACTCTTCTTTCGATATCACTCTCACACTTTCCATCTCTTGTAAACTTTGAACCCAGATACACAAACTCTTTCACCTGTTCAATTTGTTCATCTTCAATCACAATGTTGCAGTCTGTCACTGCCTCATCTTTTTCAAACACCATCACTTTCGTCTTCCTTACATTCATCTTCATTCCCTTTCTAACAAAAGCTCCACTCATAGCAGTTACCATCTCCTGCAACTCCTCGGCCGAAGACGCAAGTAATACTTGGTCATCAGCATAGAGAAAACATTTGACGAGTAACTCATTCATTCTCAACCCACTTTCATTCTCTTTTAAATCTGTCAAACAATTGTCCATGAACAGATTAAACAGCCACGGTGACGCTACACATCCCTGTCTAACACCTTTTTCGATATTAAACCATTCAGTGTATGCCCCGTTTATCCTTACACAAGCACTAGAATCCCTATAAAGAGATTGCATTGCTCGTATGAGGATACTGCTCACACCGTTCACGGACAGTGCTGACCACAATTCATTCCTCACCACTCTATCATAGGCCTTTTCTAGATCTACGAACGCGCAGTAGACTCTTGTTTTTAGCCAAATACTTTTCGGCTATGCACCGCAAGGAAAAGACCTGATCCGTACATCCCATTCCCTTTCTAAATCCCGCTTGTGCATCCCATACTTTCTTGTCTGTTTCATTCACAATCCTTTCAATCAACACTTTCGCATACAATTTACCGACGACGCTGAGAAGGCTTATACCGCGGTAATTTATGCAGTCCTGCCGTGACCCTTTTCCCTTATACAATGGCACGATTACGGCTTTGCACCAGTCTCCCGGTACTTGCCCATTTCGCCAGCACAGATTGAAAAGGCGGTACAGCTGACTAGCCACCAGGCCCTGTCCAGCCCTCAGCATCTCGACGGTAATCCTGTCATACCCTGCAGCCTTACCTAATCTCATACTTTTCAACGCTTTCACTATTTCATCCATGCTTATCTCATTTTCATCAACATTTATATTAGTTTCCGTGGAAGGTGGCAGATGCTGTACCTGCACTTCCTCTCTTTCAAACAAACTTTCAAAATACTCTTTCCATCTCTTTAACACACATTCTTCTCCTTTTATAATATTCCCATCTTGACTCCTGATTGTACTCAGCTCAGAGGTAGAAGTTTTTCCTCTGGCTGTTTTGATGGTTTTCCAGAAAAACTTAATGTTTGACTGGAAATCTTCAGTGAGCCTCCTATCGAAATCATCCTTTCGTTCTTCTTTCTTTCTAGACACAATTTCTTTCGCTGCTGTTTTCAATCTTTTATACTTCGTTCTTGCTTCCTTTATCTCGTCATCCGTTGCCTTTTGAACTTTTTGGTTAGCTTTTGTTGCTAACCAATCCAACCACGCTTTCTTCTTTTCTTGCACAACCTTTTGTACATCTTTATCCATCCACACGTTATCATTCTTTCTTCCTTTCCTTCTTTTAGCTACCCCGCATACCTCGATAGCAACATTTACGACCCCTTTCTTAAATGTCTCCCACAAATCTTCAATCACTCCTATCTCTTCTATCCCTTTAAAACTTTCTTTCAGTTTCTCTACATACTCGTCTTTCTTTTCTTCTTCTTGTAGATTTTCCACTTTTACTCTGTCCAAAACACTCGTAGGCTCGGCCACTCGGTGTCGCCACCGTTTAAAGAGGCCACGCATTCGGGCTATGACCAGGAAGTGGTCTGTGTCGAGGCCTACACCGCGGTATGCCCGAGTGTCTAGCACTTTCTTCCTCAGTCTTTCATCCACAATTACAAAATCAATCATACTTCTAGACTCACCCTCATCTCTTGTATACAAATGGATCTTTTTGTGGTCAAACATTGTGTTGGCCACGCACAGATTCCATTCCAAGCATACTTCAAGCAGGCTTCTCACATTGTCATTCACTCTCTCGTCCCCAAACGTACCCAGAACTCCTTCATACCCATCACGCTTTACTCCAACCCATCCATTAAAGTCCCCTAACATCACGATCCGTTCATTTTCTCCGCATTTATTCAAGACCTCTCTCATGCTATCCCAAAATTCCTCTCTCTCTTGTTGTGTTTTTATGGACCCACCTCCACGCAGATCCGTTGGTGCATAGACCCCAAGGATAAACAAGCGAGTGAGTCCGACTTTTAACCTAATCCAGAGGAGTCTTGGGCTTATACATTCATGCTCCATCACACATTCAACCATTCGAGATGAAAGAATCACACCAACTCCCTGACAGCCTCGGCTGGTTTGGGGGACTCCCGACCAGTATGCCGTGTAGGGGCCATGAACCGTGGTGTCACATCCTTTCCTCTTGGTTTCGTTCACGCACAGAATATCAATGCAACGTTCATCCATCATCTGACATACTTCATCTACCTTACCATCCATTCCTCCTCTTACATTCAACGTAGCGAAGCGGCTCTCCGTGGGCCGCTTTTCGCCCCCGCGAGAAACGAGACGTGATGGGTGGCGAACCACATCGCCGCCATTTTGGTTAATTAAATTATTTTTATGACTATCCATTGCGTTCCCACGAATAGCGAGGGAAAGGTTTGTCCCCCCCAGCAGAGCCCCGCATGCCAGGGTAAGGCTAGCCTAATTCTGGGGTCGCCCGGTCCCAGGGCAGTGTGGCACGCTAACGACTAGGCTCGCCCCTAGCCATGCATCCATCCGCGCGGCAGACGTTGGATTGGCGGAGGTTAGGAATAGGAAAAGGGGAAGGATAGGTGGTGTGAAAAGGAAGAGTAAAGTAAGTTAGGGTAGGAAATAGGAAATGTAGGATATTACCGTCCAGGAGGGCACGGGATAGGACAGTAATAGCTAGGGAAGCCGGGGTCGCATACCCGTATACCATACCACAACTACCGGACAGGTAAATTGGGATGAGTATCCCTCGACCCGAAAAATACCTAAAAAGAAACCTTATCTATAATAGTATATTAATTTATAATTTTCATCATGTAACAACGGCTTTCGTTAAAAACAGTTATGAGACGGCTTTGTAAATATCAATAACCAACTAAAGTAAACAAATTAAAATATGTGTAGGAAGTATAGTGGGGGTATAGTACAAAGACTGATTTTGTAGTTAGGAATAATAATTAATTCGTTTACACGAATTAATTATCCAACGAGTCAAGGATAAACTAGTAACGGAATACGACAAGCGCACCGTTCCACGTCAGAGCCAAGACTGTCTTAACGGTGTTTTTTTTTTTTTTTTTTTTTTTGCGCCCGAAGCAATTGGAAAAGGGCTACCACTGAGGGAGGCGGAAAATGCATTATGCATACCACGACAGCCGGTCTGTCCTGGTTATGTGGGACTCACTGCCTACCGGGGGACCTAAGTGATACCCACTAAAAACCGCCTTTGGGGACTGGCAACTAGCTCTATTAAAGCTGCATATGCCGTATCTAAAGCGACCCTCTTTTGGGAAAAGAGGGCGCAGACGGCTAAGTGCCGTTTAGGGACTGCCTACGAAGGCATATTATTAATTTTAACTAATTTTTAATTTAATTAGGATTGGCCTGAGCCGCCAGGAGGCAGTTCAGGTCGTTTGACAACTTATTTGGCGGGTCCGAGAGAGTGTTTCTCGGCCTGCGGACGCTATAGCGAGAAGGGAGTGGGGCGGTATAAGTAACTGCCTCACGAATAAGTGTGTTAGTATGCGACTCTGATACTTTAAAGAAGTTTTCAGAGAATTTTTTAAGACATTGCTGGATTGTTGGGATTTCTAAATCCCGGTGAAGGTCGGCATTACGGACGTACCAAGGTGCGTTCGTAGCTCGACGACAGAAGAGGTTTTGAACTACTTGGAGTTCGTTAATAATTTTATCGTTAGCGTGTGCAAAAATAGGAGCCGAGTAAGTCATAACCGGTCGTATACAAACCTTATAGAGGGTTCGCTTATTTCGCAATGACATTTTGCTATGTCTGCCTAACATACTGTTAAGCCGACCTAAATAGAAACGTGCTAGACGCGTTACTCTTTTGACATGAGACTCAAAAGTAAGCCTATAGTCAAGGGTGACGCCTAAATATTTTGCTGACATGTGCCATGGGACAGGGGTCCCTAGCATTCGTATAGGTGGAGTATTTTTCTTGTTTTTATTACGGCGTCTTTTAATATCGAATTGAACTGCGGAGCTCTTCTCCGGGTTCACATCGATACGCCATTTTTGGAACCAGTCTCCTAGGTCATCGACTGACTTTTGGATCTTGTTCCTTGCTGAAGATATTCTAGGACTTTTGAAGTATAGTGCAGTGTCATCTGCGAAGAGTCTTAACGGTGGCCGCTCAGTCCGTTTTATACAAGCAGGACGGGCGGCCGCGCAGGTGCAATGCCGCAGGTGTGCGGTACACGTGTCGTTTACAAGAATTCTGTTTAGCTAGACCGACGCCACCGCATCTACAACGGTGCAGGTGCCGTCATATGTATTAAGTAATACTTAAAAATAATCGACACATTCAACATTGTCCCGCACGCAATGCCCCACGCGGCCTTTTGCAGTTCACCGCATGCACAAGCACACGTCGTTGTATCGACGCACAGCACACACTTGCATGCATTACACAAAGTACCTTTGTATAAACCGAAAAGTAGTAAACACCATATCGATTTGAAATAGTTTATTAAGTGCATCTTAATTTTGCATAAGAGCATTTCACAGGTTTCCAAGTTAAATGTTCTAAGATTGTAGCGCCTGATGCATTACATAGCGGCGGTTTAAAGTGTGCGATGTGCGTACAATTAGTAGTTTGTCGATTGTTATTCGAATAATCATGGTGAGGAACTACTAAATTGACAATCGAATGCGTAATAGCACAATTTTCGATTCAGTCGATTGATTTTTTTTTTTTGCAATAATTGCCCGTCTCTAATGTAGATGTGTATGGGCCACAGCAATTATTTAGCATCAGGTGGAGTGTGTGGATGTTTATCACCGTCTCGTATAAACGTGCGAATGAAATAGGTAAGGGTGGTGTTGTTGCAGCGCTGGTGCACCCGGAGAACCAGGTGAGCGTGTTCCTGGCGCACTCGGGCGCGCGGGCGCTGTGCGCGGCGGCGTGCGGCCCGGAGCGGCGCGACACGCTGCTGGTGTTCGGCGCGCTCGCGCTCTACGTGGACCGCGCCGGCCTGCGCGCGCGCGACGCAGAGATCATGTACACCGCGCAGCCGCTCTACCACGGTCAGTGCCCACACGCGCACCATCTATAATAATAATAACAACATTGCTGCATTTATAACTGGCTTTACGGCTCTGGGTTCTAGCCCTTCTAAGCCTAAAGTTACAACGTATAAATAGCCTTCATACTACACTGCTTCACAATATATTAATGCGTCACATTGTGCAGCCCTTAAAGAGATTTTGACGGCAACTTGAGCCAGCAGACAGCTGACAGTGGACGATGGTATCTCAAGGCGCCTAATCAAACGCCTTATCTTGAAAATCACATCACCATCAGAGCACTTGTTTCACCGTTTCCACTAATAGTTCACATGCGTAGACATTTAATACACAAAATCGCACCACTTTTACCTATCAAAATTCACTTCGAACTATTATTTAAACAATAATACAAGAGCAACAATCCATCACCAGTCAAGTTCCCGCCAAAAAAACAACAATACCTGAAGGCACTTACTATCTGACATTTTATTTTTTATTCAAATATATATTTATTTATACATTAATGCGCATATTTATTTGAAGTTTATAAAAATGTAAACACATTACATGTATGGTATATATATTCTTATTATCATTCTACTGTTTCCGAACCGATTAAAATCGAGAAAAGCTATATTGAATAGAGTGATATCACGAAGTGCAAAATTTTACAAAAACATCATAATAGTCACAATAACATGTGAAATACGAAAGTATCACTCATTCGATATACAGTTACTGAAATTAATTTCATCACGACTAATTTGAAATAAATAATAGTCATAAATTTGCGTATTTTTGTTTTTTGATAATACGTGAGGTAATTTCATTCATTTCAGTCATTGAAAACACTTTTTCATCTTACTACTTCTAGCATCAATTGTCATTAGATTTAAAAACGAAATTTACTTACAATTAGTTGTCTTAAACACACTATTTTTCGACCGACTTCATAAAGGAAGGAGATACTCAATTCGACTGTATGTTTTTTTTTAATGTGGTATTAACTCATAACTTTTATCTGGGTGAACCGATTTCGATGATTGTTTTTTTATTTGAAAGCTGGTGCTTCTCATGTGTTCCCATTTTATCCAGGTCTGACGATCAGTTTTTGAGTTATTCTTAATAATTTATATTGAAGTCGTTTGTACAAAATTTTTAATTTTAAATTATCTTTGTTTATACTTATGATGTTACCTTTATTCAAATTTTGTTTTAACCAGTGCTCTTTTTTCTTACAGCTATAAACGACACGCATCTGTTAATATTCACATCATCGCATATCGATATTTACGAAATCGAATCAGGAGAGTGGGTGCAGACATTAAACTTACGTAAGTTCGATATTAAATTGTGAATTTTACTTAGAATCACTTGGCCTGTATTTAGAGACTGTATGTGTGTATTGTGTTGTTGTCAAATTTGAGTCTAGACTATATTAAATATTTAAAGTTATTATTTTTTTTAATTAAATATTTATACTTAAGTGCCTGTATGTGTTTGACATTGTAAAGTTTGAGTTTAAACTTGAGATGGTCTCTGTACACCGGCCTTAAAAGTTCAAATGTTTGCATAATGTAATTTCTAACTATGGGTTCAATATAGTCATATCAAGAAGCTAACTACCATAGGCTAAAGCTATGGTTCTTCATTGTATCTTAAATGTTAAATGCTAAAACAGTTAATTAAATAAACAAATTCGCAAAATACTGGTTTTTTTAGAGGGATATTGTCAGCATTCTATAAAAAGTTCACTGAGTGTGCTATGCAAATTGAAGACTTTTTTACCCATCGTGTGATCAAAAAATAGTAGTAATTAATTATATATTTATTAATATTTACTCTGAGCAACTCGTGTGTTCTTCTTCGGCTTTCTACTTTTTCATCAGCTCGTTAAAATCTAGTACTAGACTATTCCGCTTCTATTTTTTTATAGGATAGGATGACAAACGAGCACACAGTTCACCTGATGATAAGTGGTTGCTGTGGCCCATAGACATCTACATTTATCCTCGTTTGCGAATTAAAATGCAGATGCGTTGTCACCCGTGAGGACTAAGATGGAATGCCTCTTTTCCAGTAAAGGTTTCCGTAAGGTCCAGGGTTTCCGGTTCTCTACACTCACCATACGAAACACAGCAGTGTTGAGCTGCTATTTTACGCTGGTATTCTGTGAGAGCGTGGTCCTTCCCCGGTCGAGCCGACCCATTTGTGCTACAACTATACTACTAATATAGCTGCAGCATGGCTCTACCACGTAAGTAAGCTATTATAGGGAAATATCGCATTAATCGTCGTCGTCTCCTGGCACGATCCCAGTACCAGACGAGCACCTTTAACGTTGTTGCCCGTCTCCGATCTGAGTATTTTACGCCTGGCGTAAGCGAGACGATTATACGATAATACCGCCATCTATCCGAAACCATAAGAATTTTCTAGCATTTTATTTTATACGTGGTAGAGCCATGCTGCAGCTGTATTATGGTTGTAGCACAAATGGGTCGGCTCTAACGCGGTAGGACCACGCTCTCACAGAATACCAGCGTAAAATAGCAGTGTAACGCTGCTGCGTTTCGTATGGTGAGTGTTGAGAACCGGAGATCCTTTTTACTGGAAACGAGGCATTCCATCCCAGTCCTCACGGGTTACGACGCATCTGCATTTCGATTTTTAATTGAGGATAAATGTAGATGTATATGGGACACAGCATCAACTTACTACTAGGTGGTATGTGTGCTCGTTTGTCACCTTTATTCTATAAAAAAAAATCTTTCGGAAGCCATCAGATTTTTCTAATGTTGTTATGGCCCACACGACATAATTATATATTAGAGTTAAGTTTAAAATAAGCAGGAGAACAACATGTCTCCTTGTCATTGACACCTTACTTTATTGGGGCGATGTATACGCTTTCACAACAAAATCCCAAAAAAAATATACAAAATTTAACCTGCTCAAAGTTTAAAAACTTTATTAAACAAAGTTTGTATAAAATGGGTTATTATAATATTAAGAAATTTATGGATGATAATAACCCCTGGGAATGAGGTGATCGCTACCAAGCTATTTCTAATTTATTTTGTATAGTTAATTGTGTAACATACATGATTGTAAGTAAGTTAAGTCCCGCTGGGTTTCTTGCTGATTCTTCCCAAGACAGAGTTTTTTTTTCTCGAACCAGTGGTAATTAAACAAAAGAGTGACTTTCTATAAGTATTATTTATAATCTATATTGAATAAAAAAGTTTGTTTCCAACGTGTACACTAGTATTTTTCATAGTCACCTCTTACGAGACCCACGGGAGGAAACGGGCTGATAATTTCACCTACGCGGTTACCATTTTCCGGTCATAATGTATTCGTATGTTTTGTTTCAGCGAACGCGCGTCCGTTGGACGAATCGGGGTACGTGGTGTGCGTCGGTGGTGGGGGAAACAACGGATTCCCCTTCTCGTCAGACTCAGCGCCATTCTTAGTTTACTTAAGGCCGCTTTTCACACGTAAGCATGCAATTTTCATATGTTTCAGCAAATATCATAAAAAATAAGCGATTTTTTATTAAATATTTTGAACATAATATTTTACTGCTGTTATGTCTATACAGGGTTATTTTGCAATAACCGGCCAAATTTCTCAAAGCCAGAGATGGCTCAGAATAAGTAATATAGGCGAGCCGTAAAAAAATAAAAAAAAATATCTCAAACATTCTGTCCTTTTTATGTCTGAAATTCGTTAAATGCATTAATTTAACTGATTTTACTGCGCACGCTCAAATTCGTAAGTGTCGATCGGTAGGTAAAAACGCTGTTGCCCATAAATCACATTCAGTTTGGGATAATTTAAATTAAAAGATGAAGCCTTATTCACTCGTATTTTCAAAAACTGAAATAACGGTATATCATTATTTATACGAGTATATTTGAACTTAAGTTTAAAATTTGGCTACTCTTTGAAAAATAACCCTGTATACTAGATAATTATTTATTATATCATTTTCTACTAGTCATGACTACTTTCTACTGAAAGTAGTATTTTTTTTAAAGGCACAACACGAAAAAGAAATGATTTTTTTTTTCGTGTTGTACCTGTCCAAGTATGATCTGCTATAAATACACAGAAGCAAATGTTCCGCAACGTAAGCAAGTACATATTTATATTTTTTTTATACGCGTTGCTGCGCAGAAGAAATAACTGTGGAAATATCGGTTTTAAATTTGGAACACCTATATTATTTATTTAGGAATTATAATACATTCATTGAAATTTAATATAATATATTTTAAATAAGTTCGTTGTGTATGTTATATATGTATATGTGTAAGTTAATTGTACTATGCCTATAACTTTCGCGCAAGTGCAAGCGATAGGTATACAAAGTTCTACCGCAATCTGATGAACGGTATGACGGCGCATAAAATACTACAATATTAATTTTATATATTAGAAGGGTGACAAATGAGCATACAGTCCACCTGATGGAAAATGGCTAATAAATCGATACATTATTTTTATCACTCTTACCGTCCATAGCAGGCTTAATATAAGATGAAACATTGACTATATTTATACCTTTAACGGCTAGTGGCAGATAATGAAAATCTTTCTTCAACAGAGGGTCCATTAAATGTGGAGATAGCGACCACGTGGGGCAGCAACAAGCGAAGGTTTTCAGTCCGTGAGCAGTCACATCAAGCGATCGAAGCGCATAATAGATTGTAAGTGATCATGACTTTTGTTTGGTTATATTTAAAGTAAAAGTAAAGTAATACCCTTTATTTATTAGTAATATGTCTTTTAACAAAAAGCAAAACCGACTCCAAATTGCTCAAAAAGAAGTTATTTATTCGTTACCCTTAGAGGTGGAATTATTTCTCCAAATCCATATGGAATTACTCTTGACAACCTATTTAATAAAAAAAGAATCATCAAAATTGATTCATAATCTGCGAAGATATCTCGCGTAACACACATCCGAAAAAAAAGCTACACTCGAATTGAGAACCTCCTCCTTTTTGAAGGCGGTTAAAATAGAAAAAAAACAGCCCTCTGATTACTAGCAGCGACGAGTAGTCGCTGATACATTATTTCTTGATTGAAAATTTAAGTAGTAGGAGAACAACAATACTGTAGGGGACTGCAGTGGACTGTATGATTTTATTAACTAACAAACTGTGTGACAACTGATCCTATGTAGGGTAAACTATACTAGGAACGGTTGAAGAAAAGATGGTACTGTAGACGATTATGTATTTCAACTATTTACAAGCGGCAGCTTATTTATATATATATACACACAGAGGGGAATCTTCAAGGGGAAGGACCACGCTCTCACATAAAACCAGCGTAAAATAGCAGCTTAACGCTGCTGTGTTTCGTATGGTGAGTGTAGAGAACCGGAGCCCCTTTTTACTGGCAAAGAGGCATTCCATCTTAGTCCTCACGGGTGACAACGCATCTGCATCTTGAGTTTTTATTGAGGATAGATGTAGATGTCTATGAGTCACAGTAACCACTTGCCATCAGGTGGACTGTGTGCTCGTTTGTCACCCGATTCTATAAAAAAAATATATCTGTCTTAAGGTTTTCTTTCTTCTCTCTTGCTATTGTATCCTCGAGTGCCGCTTCCAAAATGAAACAGCTCACAGACCAAAACGTCCTTCTTATATTCTCAAAAAGAGTGTCTCGGCATGTATTGTGTACACGTGATAGTCGGCCGGTATGTGTGGTGCGCGGGGTATGAAGGGGCGACGGGGAGCCGTCCGTAACAAATACATATTATGTTGTTGTGTGTATTGACTATTGATGTATTTGTATTGACATGCTGTTTGTTATATCATTGACAATTAAAAAAAAGAAAATTGTTTACATAATTGCTTTAGTTTATTTCATAAAAGCAGCAGTTCGAATAAAGTACAACTTATACTTATAACGAGGTTATTGCATTAAATAAATAGTTTTAAAAAAGACTACCAAATCACATGAAAGAGCTGTTGCTGTTGCTGTTGCTTGCACATTTGCTGTTGTTTCTATATATACTCAGCGTGTACTCTGTGCGTATACTTAGCAGTTAATGCGTAGCAAAAGTTATATACTCATTCATTTCTACACCCTATCAAAAGTTCTCTACAAAACATAGGCCTCCTCTATGGATTGCTTCATAGTTGGGATTTGTCATAATTGCCACGCTCGGTAGGGGGGATCCACAGTATTTTATTATTTTGACTTTTTAAAATATTAATTTTTATTTATTTTTTTTTTGTGCGGTTCAGACTTTGCTTCTATAAATATAATTTGAATAATTTTATCACGTTATGATCTGTACTTTGTAAATCCGAACATTTATTGTGTTTTAAAAAGAAAAATTAGACAAGTGCGAGTCGGACTCGCGCATGGAGGGTTCCGTACCATTTGTACAAATTTTAATACTATGTAGGTAAAAAATACGATTCTAGTAGGGGAGCCCACTCTAATTTAACTCTCTATGACAAAATCCCCCTATGAGGTAGTCTATAGGAAAGCTCTATGTTCAGCAGTGGACTTTTATAGTTTGTAATGGATGAATGGATGGATTATATTAATTATTGATTTTAATAATTTTGAAACGCCCGCAGCTAAAACGCTGTTAGTGATATTATATTGAACTCTATATCAACAGATCGGAGCGTCGTTCAAGGCTGATCTCCGCGCCCACAAACTTTGCCCACGTGTCACACATGGGCCCCGGTGATGGTATCCGATCACAACGACTACTTGACCTGCCTACCACCGTGGAGACTGCCGACGAACAGCACCAGCAGGTCAGTCCAACTGCCCACTGCCCAGCACCGGGAGAACTTTTTTTTACAAATGACCTCACAGTCCATGTTTGAGTAAAATGCAAGTTTAAATTTAACTTTTGTAACTTTATTTTATTTAAAATTATTTGCTGGAAAGCCGTCTGTCTACACTTTGAACACTAGGGATTGGAAAGGAAATTGCCAATACACAAATTAGATAAAACGCATAAAGTGTTGCAAGTAAAACATACAAATTATAATTAATATATATAGAAAATACAGATAAATATTAATATTTGATAATTAAACGGTCCACGGATGGTAAGTGGATGCTGTGGCCCATAAAGCTCCACAATTATCACCGATTAAGAATCAAAATGCAGAGTGATGTGACGAATCATTTGCAGACAGACAGCATCACTAGATGAATCATGCTGTCTATTGTGCATTAAGTCCACTGACCCAGCACTGTGGACATAGCCGACGATTAGAAGCTGTTCTGTGGCGAGTGATCTTAGCCTTCGATCTTAGCTTTGTGCTTAGCTAGGTCATTCATATAATTATTCAGTATTGTTATAGTCACAGAATTATTCAGCACCGACACGGAAGTCGCTGGTGCCGTCCTTTTTACTGCTAGAACGAATGGCAAAATAAAGAATTCTACCCTCACTTTGTATTTTCTTTTATTTTCTACCTTCTTTCATATCAACATTATGTGTGTGAAGTAAAAAATATTTTTATATTTTTTTCAGCAAATGTACGGCAGCCGGGAGAGTAGTAAACGAACGTCACCTTTGACCATATCGCATGGGACCGGTTCATATAACGGTAATTTTTAGGGCTTTTTTTTTTTAAAGAAATGCATAATATTTTGTAATAAGTACTGGGAATATTGTTTTACCATGTAGATGCGGTGTAAGAATATCCACTACTCCATACCATCCCGTGGGTGTCGTAAGAGGCGACAGAGGGAAACAAATCAGAAGATGGGCAGCAGTGTCGTGGTAGAGCCATGCTGCAGCTATATTATGGTTGTAGCACGAATGGGTCGGCTCGAACGGGGAAGGACCACGCTCTCACAGAAAACCAGCGTAAAATAGCAGCTGTTAAGCTGCTGTGTTTCGTATGGTGAGTGTAGAGAACCGGAGACCCTTTTTACTGGCAAAGAGGCATTCCATCTTAGTCCTCACGGGTGACAACGCATGTGTATCTTGAGTCTTTATTGAGGATAGATGTAGATGTCTATGGGTCACAGTAACCACTTACCATCAGGTGGACTGTGTGCTCGTTTGTCACCCGATCCTATAAAAAAAAAAAAAAAAAAAAGTGTCTTCCTAATAACGACTAAAAATAAAAAAAAACTGCGGTTGCCAACCCGCTTGCCAAGCGCGGCAACTGTGGCAAATATCCCCCCTAGGAGGCAATCTGTGGGGGAGGGGGGGTGGCTATGTTCAGCTGTGGACTTTAATAGCCTGTAATGATAATGGTAACTGGGAATATAGTTATAGTCGTTAAGTAAACCTTGGCTATACCTAACATTGAAGAACATTTGTGTTTACTGCTGTGTTAGTTACTTAATCATTAATATTTAGCACACCACTAATCCAGAATATGTAAAACTAATTACACATGAACATCGTTGTACAAACATGTTCTTGCAAATAAAGATTGTTTTTATTATTACTTGTGTTCAGATAAATTTAAAAAATGGCCGGCAATGTTTGTGACATTTTGTTTTAAGCTTTAACATTCTATCTGTCTTCACTTAATTTTTCGTACATCGAATCGCTTCTAGCTAATATCTGAAACGATTTCAGGCTCGTGGCGGCGCCGTGACACAACTGACGCACCAAACGAATCAATGGGGCGCGGTATGGACAGGTATTTATAATATAATAATCATATATATATATATATATATATATATATATATATATATATATATATATATATATATATATATATGGCTGGATGGCTTAGCCGTTAGTTGGCGCTGTTGTCTGAATCCAGAAATCACCCGTGCTAAGCCGGGTCGTATCGCAAGCGCCACATATAAAATGTATTTTATGTAAAGTTTCTATCATGTTGACAATACAAAGTTTTGACCCTATTTATAGTCCACCTTTTGGAACTTGGCTATTTGGCATAGATCCTGCAGCCAACTGAGGACTGAGAACTGATCTGAGGACGAAGATATTTCATCAGTTATCGGTAAATGAAATATCTTAGAGCTGTATATAATGAGGGCATCCACGATTTTTTCTGCCACCAGGCCACCAGGGCGGCGCCACTAGAAAGTGAGGTATAATATTTGACAGAAATCATAGCGGGGAAGTTAATTTTTTCGGAAAATTTAAAGGTTATTATTTCTTTCTGTACTATTAGCTATATTTTATGCTAGCTGACCCACGCGACTTCGCCCGCGTGGAATTTACAAAGATTTCATTGGTTTTAATTTTTTTGCGCGAAACCATAATTATTTTTCTAAAATAAAAGTATCCTAAGTTACTTCTTATAGCATCAGCTATCTGCCAGTGAAAGTCCCGTCAAAATCGGTCCAGCCGTTTCGGAGATTAGCCATAACCAACAGACAGACAGACAGACAAAAATATAAAAAAATTGTTTTTTTTTTATTAGTATCGTATATAATTTCATATTATATTTAGTAAAAAGCTGTTATTTTAACATTACAAACAGACACTTCAATTTTATTTATATGTATACGTGTATAGATAAATAACATTAAAATGTATAAACAAAACCACAGATATTCATAAAAGTAAAAAAATAAAAAAGCAAGCAAAAAAAGTGCAAAAAGTTAAAGAGTAAGTCACTGACGCATTGTTTTGTGTATTAATATAATACTCTAGAAACTGGTAAGCCTTTATTAAAAACCAACTTCTCAATTAAATGACATTGTGTAACAAATTGTGTAGAAAATTATTAGCCCTCATTAGAGGCTGTGAGGCAGCAATAATCTTCCCCAATCACCAGATGTCGCTAATTGACACTAAGGTTAATTATTTTGTTACACAATATCATTTAATTGAGATGCTAGAAAAAGTTTATCAGTTTCTAGAATATTATATTAATACACAAAACAATGTCTCAGTGGTATGCTCTTCAATTTTTTTCACATTTTAACTCTTTTTTTTTCAATTTGCTTTTATGAATATCTGTGGTTTGGTTTGTTTATTTTTAATCAAATTTATATAAAATATAACTAATAGTACAGAAAGACACATTAATCTTTACATTTTCGAATAAATTGACTTCCCCGCTAGGAAATTTGTCAAATATTACACCTCATTTTCTGTTATATATCAGCAAAAATAATTAGTGAGCCACAATTTTTAATGAGTTAAGAAACCCTGTTTCTCTACAGACTTCAAAAAGGAGACGGTACTCAATTCGACTGTTCTTTTTTTTTAATTCTCATAACTTATTACTGGGTGAACCGATTTCAATGATTCTTTTTTTGTTTGAAAGCTGGTGCTTCTCATGTGGTCCTATATAAATTTGAATTATTCTTAATATTGAAGACGGTTGTAAAAATTTTTATATTATTTTATATTTTATATTATTTAATCAATTTTCGCCGAAATACACGATTATATTTTATTTTTCACTCGGATCTTAACTAATCACTTTTATATCAAACCAATTTCTTCAAAGTAACACCTGATTCTATTAACTATCGAAGTATTACTATTTACAGTTGTGAAACTTTTGTAAATTAGTGCATAAGCAGGACGTCCGATCTTCCGCATTGAAAATTGAATTTATTAGTCGACGGATTGGCAATTCTAACTGAATTATCGCCAAATCAAATTCCAGTAGTGCACAAGTTCTATATTGCTTGCAGGTCAATAGGCGGCGGATCTCAAGGCAGTGGGTCGCTGTTACTGGAGCGCTCAATCACGCCGCTTAGCCTGGGCAGCATGAGCTCGCTCCACGACGTACTGAAGGTATTTTGCGTTAGCTAAGCCCACCGATGGGGGCATATCAACAAACAAGCAAATCTTTAACTATTGTAATTTTAATATTATTATTGTAATATTGACAAATTCAGTAACAGATGTTGATTACTAGTAAATGCTGAGGAGCGTAAGTTCATTCCTCGCGTAACCACCCAAGTACCTAAATACACAATTGTTCACCTAGAAATATTTGTTTCACGGGTGTTTTGTATGTGCAATTTATGTATACAAAAATTTCCTTTATAATACAGGAATAACTTTAAAATAAAAATAAGTGCACATTCTTGGACTGTATATCCATAGGTTGCTAGTTCAGATCTGGCTCGAATGACCAAAAAGGATGTGGAAGCCACAGTTTACAGTTCCTATAAGGCTTTTAGTTAATTAGATCGTACACTGTCTTCTTTTTACATCCATAATAATGACTTCTTAAGTTTACTGCTGCACATAGATCTTTTCAAAAATGTGCCACTGGCCATTCGATTATTTAAGGATTTGCCTATACTTACCAGAAACCAGCCTTTGTTGGATAGATTTCCCTATATCGTTCATTAGTTTTGTATATCAATCCGTAGGAGATGTAACGAGCCAGTGACGTTGGTATTTGTATGGAAAATTACATAATATTCCTTCTTACATCCTTATAATAAATTATATATCATCTTTGTCATACCATGACAGTTCATAGCTAGATATGGGCATCTCCCATTGTAAGTTAATTTACGTTTAGTGTTAGATATTACGTTTAAGTTATACGTGGTAGAACCATGCTGCATTTTTACGTGGTAGAGGCTCGACCGAGGTAGGACCACGCTCTCACGGAATACCAGCGTAAAATAGCAGCTGAATGCTGCTGTTTCGTATGGTGAGTGTAGAGAACCGGAGACTCTTTTTATTGGAAACGAAGCATTCCATCTCAGTCCTCAGGGGTGACAACGCATATGCATTTTGATTCTTCGTGGATAAATGTACGTATCATTGGTCACAGTATAGACCATATATTATCAGGTTGGAAAAACTCCTATAACGAGGCATGGTTGTTGTCACGGAGGGCGAGGGGAGACGCTTGGCCTCACTGCGACATCACAACGTAATGAGGCGACCACCTGACCGGTGGATTCATTCATGGCAAGGAAGAGCTCCCAGAAGATGCAGAAGAAACAAAAATAACAAGATTAATCAGTCTAGTGCTCCTTAGACTTTTTATATAATATAAGTGTGACCAACGAACACACAATCCACCTAATGGTAAATGGATACCGTGGTCCATAAACATCTGATACTGTAGTCCATAGACATCTGATACTGTGGTCCATATACATCTGATACTGTGGTCCATAGACATCTGATACTGTGGTCCATAGACATCTGATACTGTGGTCCATAGACATCTGATACTGTGGTCCATAGACATCTGATACTGTTGTCCATATACATCTGATACTGTGGTCCATAGACATCTGATACTGTGGTCCATAGACATCTGATACTGTGGTCCATTGACATTTGATACTGTGGTCCATAGACATCTGATACTGTCGTCCATAGACATCTGATACTGTGGTGCATAGACATTTGATACTGTGGTCCATAGATATCTGATACTGTGGTCCATAGACATCTGATACTGTGGTCCATAGACATCTAATACTGTGGTCCATAGACATCTGATACTGTGGTACATAGACATCTGATACTGTGGTCCATAGACATCTGATACTGTGGTCCATAGACATTTGATACTGTGGTCCATAGACATTTGATACTGTGGTCCATAGACATCTGATACTGTGGTCCATAGACATTTGATACTGTGGTCCATAGACATTTGATACTGTGGCCCATAGACATTTTATACTTTGGTCTATAGACATCTGATACTGTGGTCCATAGACATCTCGTTACCAGAAAAAGGGTCTCTGGTTTTCTGCACTCGCCATATAAGCTGCTATTTCACACTGATATTCTGTGAGAGCGTAGTCCCCGGGCATGACGATCCATTTGCTGCAGATTGATTCTGCCGCATATAATCTGTTACGATAAGATCATTAAGGGATGTCCTTACTGATTTTATTATTGTCCATCAGGTTGGCACCGATATGGGCGAAGGTTTACATTCGGAAGATAGCAGTTGCGGGGCGTCGCCACCCCATCCAATGGACCCCTGATGGTAAGTGAACTATAAAATAACCAGTGTATTCTTTTAAACATTTAACTAGATGATAAATATTGTATAATGTGTTATAACCGAATTTCGGTCACGGCAGCTAGGTCTAAACGGAGACATAGAGTGTGTTACGATACACTGTGACCACTGTAAGGTATGACGTCAATTCAGTAAACTGTGAAGCCATTCCTTTTTAGTTTGCTATACTGGTTACTGTATAAAACGGAACGCAGTCCTATATACTGTCATCCCCATTTTTCAACACTGTTTTCAAATGAAAATATTTATCATGTACCCGTTTTCTATTCAACAAGAAAAATTATTATTTGAATATTATTGCTTTTAAAACTTAATGTACGTGTTTATTTAAATAACAATATTAATTAATAATAATAAAAACCATTCATGGAAGCTGTTAAATCTCTAGGCGCTGTTATATTTTTTGATCACGTGATCAAAGCACTGAGAGCACCTTACTTCGAAATCGTCAGTGCTCAGAGGACAAAAATGGCGGCGATTTATGACGTCATATACTTTCCTAGGACACTGTGGCAGTATAATGGCAGTCTATAACTGAACGAATTTTTCACCACTGAGAGCATTGAGCGATGCTCACAGTGTACAGACAGGATTACAGTGCCCAAGTGCAAGCAAGCAAGCACAGGTGCCCTCTCTATTCCCTCACTGCTATATAGTCTACAGGTCTTTCAAGGCACGGGGATGAACACCGCCAACTTCTGACTGCGGTCTGTTACTTAAATTTTTTTAACAGGAAAACCCAATAACTATTTTTGCCCTGATCAGAGAACCTGGGAAATTTGAACTAAAACAAACCTGGGAAGGCGATAGATTTAAGTCGGTTTCTCTGGTTCTGCTGTAGATTTCGTAGTTACAGATTACATGACACAGAAAAATACCGAGGAAGTCCCTTTCCATAGCTTGCTGAAGGAGCTTCCTCGTACAATCAGCAATTTAGGGCCACATCTCGGTTTCTCAAGTGATTACTATTTGATACAGTTCTATTAGTGAGAACTTGTTATTGGCTTTTTTGTAAATTTAACATGTTATTTACTTAAGATTTGTAAACTGTTGGTTTTTCATAACATAAAAATAAAATACAGGAATTTTGATATGAACATGTTTTGCAGAACCCAATTGGACACCTACTGGAAGATAGACATGTCTCGTTTCTACGCTTGCTTCTGTTAAGGTTTACAGCGAGCCACCTTTTACAACGTAAAGACGTCACAAACGGACTGGACTACTTGCCAGATGTGTTTTCTGTCAAATTACATATTATATACCTTGCAACTTAACCCTATATACCCCAGACAATAGCAACTAATGTAGTGTTACTAGAGTCAATAGAAATATATCCCAGTTATTCGCCAGCTACATCTGAGATTTTGATTTAGTTTAAGGCTTGATTTTGAGGCTAAGTTACTATCGATATTATGCATACATCACTGTTATTGGGATTTTGTTTGATTGCTTTAAAGGCAATTTGCGAATTCGGTGAGAAAATGGACGTTAGTACTATTTTCAGTATAAATTGATTTTGATATTTTATATAATAGGAACATAGAATTGGAGCCATTGCAAAACTATCAAAGAAAAATATAAAGTTAGGGCCACACTCAACAATAAAACATTATATTTGGCTGACATGACAGTATAATAGAACAAATATATCTATTTTACAACAATTATTTCGATTTGTGTAATGGTGTAAGAAAATCATTACGTCACACCATCTAGTGGCAGTTGAAAGAGTCGACTAGAGGAAGTAAAATTCATATCATCTGACCCGCTAGCCGGCGAAGTAACATTCACAATAATATCAGACGTAAAATAGCTAGACTTGCATAGGCGAAGTCAATTTTTTTTATTGGTTGGGCCTAAGAGGCACAAACTCTACCTGTACTTCTAGACTTCAAGACAATGTGCGATTTTTCTCTTGTGGCATTGAGAATACCAAGTAAAAAAGCAACATACCCGCCAAGTGCGATAAGTGCTTGGCAGTGTATACTATACCCATGTGTGGACTGTTTCAACACAATAGATTATAAATTCTAGTATGGACACAGAAAGACTGACACAATTTTTGAACGATCAAAAAAACAAAAATAGAATTTTGCAATGGCTTAATAATGCAGGTGACATTTGGAGTTTATAAAATTTCCATTTGCCGTTTTTATTTATAAAAAGGATATTTTCTGTAAGGCCCAATTTAAAAGAAAATCGTAACCAGTACAAAGATGTTTTCGATATTTTAGATCTGGTAATGGATTAAATGTTTGAAATAGCCTCTTTATAAATAAATAAAAATCCAAAATATTTTGCATAATAGTATATTGGGTTCCTAAGAGATGTGTTATTGAAATTTTATTTGCAATATATTTATTGAAGGTATGAGACCGATTCAACTATGTGCTTCACGTACGTTGTACAAAAAACCTTCCAATATAAGGATAATAATTATATTATAAATAATATGTTGAAATTTTGTATAAAGGTGTTGAATCCGATGTGACTTGTAGGTCAATTAGTATCCAAATATGTCGCGTTGCGTGCAATTCTTTTTTAACATACCCCTTTCAATTGACGCATGCCACTGTCAAGTTTGTTAATCTGTGCTTTGTTTGTTTTAAAATGAACGCATGCGTCGTTCGACGTGCATGCGTCAATCGCTAGGGGGCGATGAGCGATTAATGAATTATATTGGTGTATTTTATAATGTATTTAAGTAATTATAAGTTTAATAACCAAATGTATAAATTCGCTTAACGGCTTAACTTAAATGTACTTTTGAAATACTCCACGGACGTCATATTGCTTATCTGTTGCACCGTTGTGATGGATTACTTCATGCGAGGCGTCCGTTTTTCTTAAGCATCATGCACTTTAAAAATAACTTGTGCTTAATATAAGCATCCTTCTGTATCCTATTTGTACTATCTTAAATTATAATATATATTTAAAAATAACGAAGTCAATTGTGTACCGGTAATCAACAGATTTCCCTTCCGAATATAGTAATATATAACATGACTTTACTAAATATTGGCGCTTTAATTCTGAATTAGTTTACTTTTTCTCTTTTAAATAAAATATTATTGTAGTTGAGACACGAACGACCAAATACATATAACAAACATCACTGCCATAACACGTTTTTAATTTTTTTTTTAACAATACTAACATATTTGACTTACGTAAAATAAGTTGGTACCTATAAGACAATGATGATGATGAATGATAAAAACGATCTTTATATTGTTTAAGGACATGATTTTTCTATACAAAGTTAATTTAAAATGTTTAATATTTGGCCCACCTATAAAAAAATCATCATATTTTAAATTCGTTTAATTATAAGATAACTACCATTTGGTATAAAATTGTAATATATTATGGTATTTCTAAATACCTTTAGGGTTGCCGTTCGTACTCGACTGGAATATTTTGACGAATTATCGAATATTAGCATGAAATGTTATGATTATTATTTATACAAAAATATGTTTCTTTTTTTAATCATGATTATTCATACGTCATAAATCATAAATAATTATAATACATAATTATTTATTGCTGAGGGAGTTGCAAGTCCACTTCGGGACCAATGGACATTTTTTCATTAATCCTAATTATTTGATAATAATTTTAAAATAATATTACAGCGTTATTTTTTACTATAATTGCGTATTTGACACCACCATTATTATATAACGATGTAAATTTTATGTTGAATAAGATTTTAAGTATATTTAAATATACAAATAATTTTTTCACAACAAACTTAGGACGTCATTATATATTTTCTCATATTTCATTCAACAAAAATGTTTTGAGTTTTGACAACCTTTAGAATGTATTTTAAATTACTAGTGTCAAATACCCAATTAAACTTTGTTCCAAAAAATGTGGCAACCCTAATCTTTTGTATTTAAAATGAACCATTCGCAAAATCCATCCATTTAGCTCTTTGTGCAAGGTTCCATCCAGCTCATTAAAATATTGCATGAAATATTGGCTGCAAATTCAGCCCTTAACTAATTAATATTTCATCATTACAGCGAGTGTTATTCGAAACGGTTCTCAATAATACGGTTCAGCGTTGTACCCGCTGCACGTTCAAATAAAATATAAAAATAGTTGATTACAATGAGATTAATTGCTTTCATCTTTAATACTCTAGATATTTAATAAGAGCTTATTTCGATTGTTTTAATCACATTAAATCTCTTATATTTTGTGATTATGTATTATTTAAATTTAAGGAATATTAGTAATTTGTAATTATTTTAACGATCTAGTCTTTTTTTTTTTTGTTTGATTTTTGTATTGTGACCGTAAATGTATTGTCCGGAATAGGAAGTTGTCTTAACGCATATATTTTAAGAAATTTTACATTGTTTATGAAAATGAGATTTTAGGTTAAGTATATTATTTTATATTTGGTTAGGCTAGAACTAGTCGGCCATTTTGTGGTCGAATGCTGACATTATAAGATGGCGCTTCCAGTGTACGCTGCCTTGGAGTGTTAGTGTTTAGGCGCAGATTATGCATTTTTTGTGAAAGTTTTATATTGTCCAAAGACCACGCTAGATAATTGTGCAAAATGCCTCTACGATTGGTTTCGTATTGAATGAAATTTTTATGTGAAAAATTTAAATTACAACTATTATAATATATATTATATAGATTACATGTTTCGTTTAGTATGTTTGTTTATAAATTAAAAAGAATTTGGAGATCTCGACAATAAAATATCGCTTCGAATAACTTATTTATTATCAACCAATGATTGTTTTTTTTTTGCATTGAAAACTGTGTGTTTGGACAAAATTTTTGAGGATTATCCCAATTTTTGATTATAGTGTCGTTGAATGATACATTCTAAATTATATGAAAGAGTTGTACCCATTTAGGCGTAGATTTGGCTAAAATTAAAATAGAATTATGTACACAAACAAATTATAAATAATTATCTCTCTC